GCAGTGTCAGCAAAGGCTCGAGCGGAGAGCGCAGCACCCTCAGCCATCCCCCGGGCCTCCCGTCTCCTCAAGGCTCAGTCCCAGGGAATGCAAAGGCCTATACCATGGGTGTCATCACCGGGTCCCCATCCAGTGACAAAGAGACCGGGAGTCATGGCCTTGTCAGAGCTGGGGACTGTTTGGAGGTAATTTTTTTGGGATGGAGTAAACAGGCCTGAAGAGGGGTAGGTCTCCCAATGTCCTAGGCTCATACACAAAGGGGCTACATCATAGGTCTTACTTCCCACTGTGCAATAGGGGTTTTCCGCTGCATTTCATAGAGAATTTGTTATGCATGTGACATTGCTTCTAATGTCACTTTATTCAGAACCATTTGAAAGTAAGTTGCAGATACCATACTTCACTCCTAAGGTGTTTAGGCTACATTCTTTAAAATACTGACATTCTAATATGTAGCTTAAATTCCAATATTGCACTAAGTAAATTGATCATTTACCCAATTCCCACTAAAATGTTTTAATTTTGTGGAACCAGGATCCACTCGCACATTACATTCGAGTTATTATCTACTTAATCTGTTTAAAGATGGAGTGTTGGGCCATTTTTTTGTTTGTTGATGATACTGAATTTTGTGTGGTGAGTTCAGGCCAATCGTCTTGCAGGCTTTCCGTGCCTGGATCCCCGCCCCCAACCCCCTGTGACCGAATCAGAGTGAACAGGGAGAAGCGACACAGTGACAGTGGGGACTTACCGTGTCATGTCCCGTCAGGCAGGGCCTAGCGCTGGCTGCCTGCCCTTGGAGAGAGGTGAGGCGGGTTAAGGGCTGGTCACCAGGTCTCCCCATGGAAAGGTCATTTCTCCTCAGCGACCTGTGAACGTCCACAGGGTGCGTGGCGAGAGGCCTGCGATAGGTTTCATGCCACGTTCTAAACTTAGATGGTAATTCTGAAGTATTTTATCCAGTGAGAAGGCCCCTCTGATGCCACCACCCTGTCTGGGACATGTGACGTTGCCTCAGAGTGTGGTTTAGTGCGACAGAAGGCCCCACATCCTCTTCTCCGGTCCCGGAGGACCCCCCCCCCCCCCCCCGTGGGAACCAACCTCAAGAGCGAGCTTTTTGTAGCGCAGGCGCTTCACTGCGCACTCACAGCAGCGGTTGGCAGAACGTCTCTGAGGACTGCTGCACACCCTAAAGATGAGGATGCCAAAAGCCCCTGTTTGTGTCCGTGACGTCTGTCTATGTTTACCGTATTCAAAATTAAAGCTGAGAATTTTCAGTAACACAAACACACGTTTCATTATTTGCCATAGTGACAATGTCAGCATATGCCATGTAGCCTCTGGAAAGTGCCGGGTACACTCATGAGACAAGAGTGAAAAGGGCGAATGCTGTCTCAGTTTTGTTACAAACAGCTTTGCCCCGCAGACCCCAACAGGGTAGGGGTCTCCTGACCACATTCTGAGAACTGCTGCATCACGGCAGTGAAGACAGTGAGTTAGACCTGCACACGACAACGTGCGGAAACCCGGACGGCGGTGTGTAAGCCCGTCTGCCCTGTTTTCATGGGCGTTAAGAGTGAAAGAAAGGCTCTTGGTAAATGAAGAATAAATTCAGCGGTAAACCCGGACCCTTTTCTTCCATCCAAATTGGTTGGGAGGGTCGGACGGGAGGACCGGACTGCTGTATCACGTGCAATCAAGACGTGTGCCTTTTCTCCGCCAGGCTGCCACTGTCCCAGATGCCTGGACAGCTGGTCCTCACTTCCGTGGGAGGTCTGCTGGCATCTGGTGAAAACACTCCGCCAACTGTCGGGAGAGTCTGATAGTCGCAGACTGAACTCATCTCACATCACTCCCACACTTTTTTTCAAGGCCTCCAATCCTCTGGGAGCCATCCCATAAGCCATGTGGACATGAGGGCTACCATTTACCAACTCCAGTATAAGACTGTGTCCCCACACTGAGTCCAACGGACAGCTGAGTGAGTGCAGAGCAGTTACTCGGCTCAGGGACAGATGGAAACCGGAAGCTCCGCGTCCTGCCCTGGAAGAGCTCTAGGCAGCGAGGGGAGGCGGCGACTGACGGAGACGCATAGATGCTACTGGAGGCCAGAGAAGGGAGGTCTCCCTGGGTCTCCGGCCATCAACAGTGTGAGATCAGAGACTGCAGAGAACTGAGATCACGAGGACTGATTCTAACCTTGACTCTGCAAAATGGGACAAGTTTCTTCAAGAGGCCGAAGCTAAGCCTGACTTCTAAGAACACAACAAGCCCTGGCTAGGCAGTGGCCCAGTCGCTCTCTGCCAGGCTGCTCTTGTTTGTTTCTATTTCTGGTTGCTTGACTGTTTCCCTCCCTCTCTGCCCCCACGACTCTTTCAGGACAAGACCTCCTGTCTTGTTCACCTCTGGCTGGATCCCTGTCACCTAGAGCAGGCCTGGGGGACACTGACTGGGATGCCCACTCGGTTCTTTTTAAAAATCAGCCTGTCCTTCAGAGTTTCCCTGAGATCCCATCCTCTCCTTGAAGTTTCCCTGACAGCCCCAGCTTTTCAAGTCCTGTTACTCTGCCTGTCTACACCTACTACTCTGTACCATGTGGCTCCTGCGACTTGTGTTCTCCACTTCTGAGAGCTCTGCCTTCCCCACCGGACCGAACAGAGGCCTGCTCTGACCCTGAGTGCGAGGGCACAGGAGCAATGCCCCCACGATCAGGAGAGCGCCCGAGGCTGTTGCCCACCCACTTACTCCTTCCTTCCTTGCCTTGGTTTCTGCCTCCGTGAAACGGGAACAATGAAAGCAATGCTGGCTACCTTCACCGTGGATGCAGCAACGTCCGTGGGCACACACCGGGCAGCGCCGTTCCCTTGAGGGAACCCTAGTGCCTGTACACAGTGCTCAGAAAATGGTGGCTGGCTGATACATGGCCCGGACGGCGCCTGAGGGGGCACGTTGTCACGTGCGGAGGCCCTCTGTGTCCCCAGCACAGGCACCCAGGTAACTGAGGATAGGGACATCCCATCCCATTCTGTCCGCAGGGGGGAAAACGAAAGTGCCAAGTTCCTATAGCTGCTGCATGGGGGTCCCCCTGCTGCTGGGCCTGAGAGTGCAGCCAGCCCCGCGTGGGGCAGGGGCATGAAAAACCAGGGCCACCGCAGCAATTCACTTACAGAGCTAAGTCTTGCCTTGCTCTGGGGCTCAGTCTCCTGACCTATGTACCCCATGGCTGGACTAGCTAGGTGGTTTCATCACTAAGAACAATGCAACTTTTGTCCCCCAGAGAAATACTGAGGAGTACTTAAAAAGATAAAAGTTAACTTGGTTCAAGTGGAAGGTAAGATGCCTAGCCTAGAAAATCTACTGTACATCGTGTCTGAGGCCCTCTCAAGATAGAAACCTCTCAGATTTCTACAATACAACTTAAAAAGACCTTATAAAAATCGTACTAGTTCCTCCCTATTGACTTCTGACCCTGTTCTCTGTAGTCAGAAGCTGACATAACCGAAAGTGACTTGGTCCCTACCCACCCTGGAAGTTAGCATGCGTTTGAAATGGGAAGTTTTCTGTTCTCCACAGCTGCACCCACAGATTCTTTAAAGCTAAAGACAAATTATTAAAATGACAAAAAACTGGCCAGCATAGGTCCCTGGCCCTGTCAGACTCGGGCTGAAGAAGCAATCCGGCAGCCTGGCTGAGAGCTCTGCACCCCAATCCCCTTCAGAGCCCCGCTTCGCTGACCAGGAGCATCAGGCAAGTTCCACCTCCTGTCAATTTTAATAACTCACTGCACAATGCTTCTAGAGAGCTCTGTAGTGTCCTGGACAAAACCCTGGGTGAGGCCATTCTGGTTGGTTCCAGTTCCAGTCCTTCCTCAAGCAGCCCTGTGACCTGGAGCAAGGGTACAGGCTAGGCCTCCTCACCCCCAAAACCAGAATGATAACACCTTTCTCACCTACCCAATAGGATTGAAAGAACCAAACTGGAAAATAGGAAAAAAAAACGCGTTTTGAACACTATGAAGTACTTTTTAAGGTGAGAAACTACACTTTTATGCTGAGATACAGAGCCATAACAAGTTAATCCAGCAAACGCCCCAAATCCCAGAAGGTAAAACTCTGTCACATCTCCACCATCTTCCACAAAGTCATAGGGCAGGGGAAGGTCAGGTCAAACGTGACCTCACCTTTGGGAAGACCACGCACAGCTAGACATGCAGATGGACTTGGACCAGCTGCTGCTTTCACATGCTAAACAGCACCAACCCCAGTGACCGATGGCCCAGTCAGTCCCAGTCTCCCGGGCTGGCGTCAGGACTCTGTTATCCCAGTCCATGGAGCTTCCATTATAAAGGGAACCTCTTCTCCTCCCTATCTGCTCAGTATTCAGATAAAACCGCCGGAACACCTGTAGGCTGTTCTGGAGAGAAGAACCAGGAGCCTAACCACGACCCCCTTAGCTAGATCGGAGTCCCCCCCACAGTCCGAGGCAGACCTCTGACTTCAGAGTGCTTTGGACACAGAAGCCAGTGAAGGTCATAAGCAGCAAGAGACATGGGCCTGGGTAATGGACAGACTGGCAGGTGCAGAGTGAGCAGGCTGTCAATACCCTCCTGTGCGACCTTGGGCAGGTCCTTTGCTCTCTGCTGTGGTCCCTGCCCTCCCTGTTGTACAACAGGGGATCTGGGTGATTTCTATGGCCCCTCTGGCTCTACACTGTCATGATTCTAGGTTTCCTCTTGACCTCCCTCTGTCCCCTCTTTGGTCCTGGTACTCACAGCATGGCCATGGCTGAAAGGCTTTAGCACAGGGAACCCGGAGAGATAAGTCCTATACTTGCACCAGGCACACTGATCCGAGGACCACAGACCCTCAGGAGGCAGCAACTTGCTTTTTAGACTACTTAAAACCAAACAGGAAAAGGAAGCTGAACCAGAGACAAAGGGGAAACAAACCCAAGCTGGAAACTGAAACCTAGGTAGAAAATGGAGAAACAAGAGGCTCTGTGGGCACAGCCCCACCAGCACGGGCAGCCAAGAGCCACTGAGGGCCTGAAACCCCCTAAGGCTTGGACCTCAGGCCTCCAAGCACTTCCTGGGAGGATGAGCGCAGAGGCTGTGGTGGGACCAGGCTGCGCTGCAGCCTCCTGTCGACTTCACAGCCCGTGTCTGGCGGAGCCATTTGACGGGTCTAGGACTGCGCTTTCCGGTCCGTCACAGCAGGCGGGGGTCAGGGCCACGGCCTCCTGAAGGCCCCCGTGAAAAGCTCCAAGACCCCAGCAGCACCCTCACTCATCTTGCAGAGGAGGCTGCAACGTGCCGATGATTTAGGTAGCAACTCACGGCCTGAAGGGGACGTGTTGGAGGAACACTGGCAGCCTGGCTTTGTCACTGGTTCAGTAAGTGACCCTGGGGCTTTACCGGGTCTTCATGAGGATGAGCCCCATTCATTCCCAGTCTTTCACCCCCAATTTCCCGAGAACCCAGAGTCACACGCTGAGCTCAGAACTGAGACAAAGCACTAAAAAGCACGCAGTAGCTGTTCTAAAATGGCTTCTGCTGAGAAAGGGAGACTGACATGTAAGCAAATCGATGCAACAAGATGTTACAGACAGAATAAAAAACATCCGAACAGAGTCCAGCACAAAAGAAAGACCAGCCCTAACTAAAGAGTTGAAAGAACTTCAAATGTTGAAAATGTATCTTAAAGGGCTTTCAAAGATACATTTCCTTTTAAGCACTGCATAAGGTGCAAACCACGAATTCTGATGTATTATGGTTTTCATTTTCTTTTAGTTCAAAGTATTTTGTTTTTCCTTGTGATTTTTTCTTTTACCTGTAGATTATTTAGATTTTGTTTAATTCCTAAACATTTGGTGTTTTCCTACATCTGTTACTATTATTAATTTTTAATTTAATTCTACTGTGGTCAAAGAACACAGTATAATTTCTTCTTTTGTTTTACCTGGTGTGATTTCAGTCCTTTAAAATTTACGGAGACCTGTTTTATGGCTCAGCACGTAGTCTATCTTGTTCAATGTACGAACAAGAATGGACAGAACGTGCATTCTGAAATTAGGTGCAGTGCCCTAAAAACGTCAGTTAGGTCATAGGTCAAGCAAGTGCCATTCAGATCTTCTACACTCTGAATGGTTTGTTGTGGCTGATTTGTTTGTTTTGTCTAATGATTCTATCCCCTGCCGAGAGACAGGTTTAAAAAGATCTCCAACTGTGGAGCTATTTGTTTCTTTAACTATGTCAACTTTAATTTCACATATTTTGAAGCTCTTGTTTATATCTTTCTGATGAATTGTCCCTTCCACCAGTATGACATGTCCCTCTTTATTAGAGGTAGCACTTTTCATCTTGAAGTTGACTTTAATGTAGCCATGTGAGCTTTTTTATGCTATTTGCCTAATGTATCTTTTTCCATCTTGTACTGGTTTTCCATTCCTGCTGTAACAAATTAGCACAAACCTATAGCTTGTAACAACTCAAATGTATAATCTGTTTTTAAAGATAATAGTAGGTCAGAAGTCTGACACAGAGCTCAGGTGTTGGAAGGCTACTTTTCCTTCTGGAGGCTCTAGAGTATAATTCCCTTGCCCTTTCTGGCTTCTGGAGGCCACCTGCACCCCTGGCTCAGGGCCCCTCCCCCATCTTCAAGGCCAGAGGTGCAGCGGCATTGTGACTTCCCGTGCACCTGACATCTACTTCAGACCACAGCCAGGAAAGGTGCTCCACTCTCATCTGTGTTTACAGCCATATTCTAATTACTTTTTGCTTTTGTTTTTTCATCTTTATTGAGGTGTGTCAAAAATGTATATTTAAGTTGTATGACTTGATGTTTTGATATATGTATCCATTGTGCAATAATCACCACAATCAAGCTAAGTAACACATCACTCATTTCCCAGAGTTACCATTTTCATTTCTCTTTTAGATTCTCCACTTTTAAGGACTCAGGGGATTAGACTGGGCCCAAGGATAACCCAGGATGACTGCCCTATCTCAAGAACCTCAACTTTAATCGCATCTGCAAAGTCCCTTTGCCCTGAAAGGTAACACATTCACAAGTTCTGGGGGTCAGGGTGGGGAGGCAGCATCACTCTGCCTATCACACATCCTTTTGTCCTCAACCAGCCTGTATCTTTGCATTTAAAGAGTGTCTCTTGTAGTTAGCCTCGCCTTTTCATTCAGTTTGAGAATCTCTATTGTTTAACTGGAGTGTTAATCCATTTACATTTAATTTATTGATATGGTTGGCTGTCAGTCTACCATTTTGCTACTTGTTTTCTGTCTCATCTGTTTTTGGTTCCCCCTTTCTTACATTCTCCTGCGTGAACTAAATACCTTTTAGAATTCTAGTTTAATTTCGCTATTGGCTTTTTAGCCATATATCTTTATATTATTTTTTAGAGGTCTTTCTAAGTATTACAATATGCATTCTTAACTTTGTATGGCATACTTAGAAATAATACTGTACCACTTCACATAAAATGTAAAAACTTTTCAACTGCATAAATCCACTCCCATCCTTTATGGTATAGTATTCATGTGTATTACATGTTCACAATGCAATGACATACACTTTTTCTTTTTTTAAGATTTTATTTTATTTATTTTTAGAGAAGGGAAGGGAGGGAGAAAGAGAGGGTGAGAAACATCAATGTGTGGTTGCTTCTCATGTGCACCCCTATTGGGGACCTGGCCTGCAACCCAGGCATGTGCCCTGACTGGGAATCGAACTGGTGACTCTTTGCTTTACAGGCCCCTGATCAATCCACTGAGCTACACCAGCCAGGGTCAATGTCATATACTTTTGTTTTAAATGACCATGTGTACATGTACACAAATATGTGTTAAATTATAAAAGTTATTTTATATGTAGCCATATAGTTATCCTTTCTGGTACTCATCTTTTCTAAATGTCTGTTTTCTGCAGAAAGCTAGACCCACTGTGGGGCTTATCATGTGTGTTGCTTTACTCAAGGCTCAGAGTCCTGTGCTGCCTGTTCAATCCCTGGAACAGCAACAATTCAGTATTTTGTGTGTTTGTGTTTCAGTATCTTTCATATATTGAGGTGCTCTGCATATTTCTCCCCTTTCATAGTTTTGTTGGCAGGAGAGCAAGTCCATTACTGTTACTCTCTCATGGCCAGAAGCAGTAGCGTGTGATTATTAAAGTACCAAATGGCATTCTTTTTCATTTTCTGAGGATTTCCTAAAGATGTTACCCTGAGGGTAAACACCCTCACTATGAAAATGTGCCTTTCGCTTTCATCCCCCATTTCCTCTGTCCCCCACCCATGTCACTACTGCCTTTTCGTGGTTTCATAAGGAGGAAACGGGTAACAGTGAACTCTGGGGGCGTTCTTTTAACTCTGTTACTACCTTTCATAAGGCACTAGAGTGGTGTTATGAGAAAAAGCAAGGAATGTGGAAAGATTTTTGGCCAAGGCATTACCAGATATGGAGTATAGGCCATGCTCTTATGTCCCTGGGCGTTCACTTCCCCACTCTGAACCCTGGATTCTGCATCTGTTCAATGGAGAGACTGGTTGTAGTAATAACTATGGACTGCAGGTACAGCAACGATTCCTAAATCAGTTGCTGGGAAATAGAAACTATTGGAAAAATAGGATAGGAGCTACTGATACTTAAAGAGCAACTTAGTGAGATAGTTAAGAAATGTCCGGTTTAAGGTGGTACCTTATAATTTGTTACTATCAATTGAGCTCAGCACCTGCTATACTGTATAGTTGATACAGGGTACCTGTTGATTGCATGAATGAACATATGAATGAATGAACGAACGAATGAATGAATGAACGAATGAATGAAAGGGAAGGGCACCAAATCTCACATGGGAAATCAAATGGGAAGGCATTTGGCTCTGTATCTTGAACATAGTAAGTGCTCAATAAATGACGACTATATTGACTTGAATTGAAAGAGGTGTTTCCCATGGGTCTAGATCCCAATGGAAAAGTAGAATGGAAGAAAATAAATCAGAGAGTTATACTAAAAGACACTCAACTTAGGAGAGCTACTTAAAAGACTTGCTATGTCTCTTGGGAAATTTGTCTCACTTTTGTGGATCGTGGTTTCTTTTCTGTAAAGAGACTAAGTTCCCTTCTCTCCTTTCCTAGTGGGATGTTTGAGCATAAAAGGGTGATTAAGAAACACATACAGAAAACGTTCACAAGAATGTCCTTGTGTCTTAGGAGTGAAGCAAAAGGGGAGGGAGAAATGGCTACACAGAATTAGTTACCACCACTGACACATCATGAAAACCTATTAGCAAAAAGCTGCATGACCGACTGCAGCCAAACTTGGGTTTGCCCTTCAAGACCCAATATACACATTACTTCTTCAACGAAGTGTTTATTGAACCCCCAAGACAGAGAAAATTATTCCTACTGCTGCGTTACTTCTGTATTTTACAGCATCATCAATTTAGTTGTCACAGATCCCTGTCCTTCAGGTAGAGGCCACCATGTTTTACTCATCTTTTATAACCAATTGTGACCAACACCATTCACGGTACACAGTGAGTGTTCAGAATGTTCAACTGTTCTGCGTAAAAGACTGGGACTCGAGTAAATTACTAGTGGCATAGAGAGGGTATACATACGGCCTTGGTATGGTTTCAAATCTCAGCATTTAGGGGAAGAAATGGCTGAGCTGAGTCTGCAATAGCAGGGCACTCTGCCCTGAGAAACCTCCATCCCAAAGAAGCTCCTGACCAAACTCACGCTACCCAAGGCAACTGAGTGTTCTGAGGAGGTAATGATGGATTCACAGGAGAAAATCATAACATCTCTGATAAGTGCAAGCACTATAAAAGAAAGACTGAAAAGAAAATAACAAAGGAAGCAGCCTATAATATATAATAGAAATATGTATTTGGTCTTTGTTTCTGGGTCACAGCTCCTAAACCCTTGGAGTTTCCAAAGCACGAGAGCCATGGGAGCCTAACTTGTTATATTTGGTCTCTTGGCCTTACTTCCTGAAATGGCCTCAGAGTGATAAATGTGAATAGGTGTCTTTTGTCATTCCCAGCAAGCCCCCTCCAACCACTCCAGTGTTTATGTTAATATCTAAGGATGGGTGCAGGTTTTTGGAGAATTGGAACTTTCAGCTCCAGCATCCACCCCCAAGAGAAGGGCTGGAGATTCCGCTCAGTCACCAATGGCCCATGATTTACTCACTCGCGCCTACATAATGAAGCCTCGATAAGATCCCAAAGGGCAGGGTGCGGAGAGCTTCCCAGCTGGTGAACCAGAATGCATCCCTGTGCTGGGAGGGTGGCGCACCCCCAACACGAGGACAGAAACTCCTGTGTTTAGGACACTTCCACACCTCGCCTTTTCTATCTTTTCATCTGGCTATTCATTGGTGTCCTTCAATATCCCCTGCAATAAAACAATCTAGTGAGTTCTGTAAGCCACTCTAGCAAACTAATCAAAGCCAGTGAAAGGGTCATGTTAACCTACCTGTGCTTTATAGCCAGTTGGTAAGAAGCACAGGTAACAACCTGGACTTGCAATTGGCATCTGAAGTGCAGGGTAGGGTAGGGGAGCGGTCAGTTGTAGGGGGCTGAGCCCCAAATCTGTGGAATCTGATGTGATCTCCAAATAGATAGTGTTGAAATTGAGTTAAATTGTAGTACACCCAGCTGGTGTCACAGAATTGCTTTTAACTCATTCAATAGGTCATTACTATTACATTAGCACAGCTGCATTCGAACTGGGACACATTTATTCCTGGGGGCACATCAAGACTTCCTGGGGTTCTCTGGCTGGTATAGTTCAGTGGATTGAGTGCAGGCCTGTGAACCAAAGGGTTGCCAGTTTGATTCCCAGCCAGGGCACATGCCTGGGTTGCAGGCCAGGTCCCCAGTTGGGGGCATGTGATAGGCAACCACACATTGATGTTTCTTTCTTTCTCCTTCCCGTCCCCTCTCTCTAAAAATAAATAAATAAAATCTTTTTAAAAAGCCCCAAACGAAACTCCCCGGGCCCACACTGGCAGCCTGGCAGTATGGGGCACGCCCACAGTGCAGCCACCACCAGCACCTAGTTTCAAACACTTTCACCCGCCAGAACAATTTCCATGTTTACTAAACCGCCTTTACTACAACTGCCCCCCGGTTGATTGTATTTTGTATGCTTTTTGACCTCTTGACATCCTTGAGGGGCCTTTCTAGCAGGGAGGAGGCTGCCCCTCCCAGAGTGCACTAACCCTGTAGACAGTGAACTTGCTGGCGAGCCCACTTTCACTCGCACGCTAACCAGTCCAAGGTCCAGGCTCCCAGCCACCTCCTTTATGGAACCACCACACACCAAGCAATTCTGTGACACTGTTGAATTGCAAATTGTAAAATGATTAGAATGACTCTTTTAAATGGTTAAAAATTTTGAGGGGAGCCAAAAATCTAGTGATTTTTTACTTCCTGAGGGTTTTTTTTTTAAGATTTTATTTATTTATCTTTAGAGGGGAAGGGAAGGAGAGAGGGAGAGAAACATCAATGTATGGTTGCCTCTCGTGCATCCTCTACTGGGAACTGGCCTGCAACCCAGGCATGTGCCCTGACTGGGAATCGAACTGTAATCCTCTGGTTCGCAGGCCCGAGCTCAATCCACTGAGCTACACTAGCCAGGGCTCCTGAGGTTTAATTACATTTGAATAAGCAAGAATAATCAGTAACCATTTTTTAGGAAAGTGTATTACAACTTTGAATAAAAATTCCAGATACACTAACTTCTGTGTGTGGGAGGTATTACTCTTTGAGGTTGCTATCGCTCAAGGCAATGAACCTTGTAGGACTTGGAGAGGGCAGGTGATGGACTCTAGGCGCCAGGAAAGAGGAGGCAAGGAAGGTGATGGGGGAGGGGCCTGCACTCGTTTCAGACAGATGGGCGCTGGGGCGGGGACTCGGGAGACCGGCTCCCTTCAAACCAGCCTTGCCGATGCAACCCCCAGAAGTCTTGATGTGCCCCCAGGAAGAAATGTGCCCCAGTTCCAATACAGCTGTGCTGATGTAATAGTGATGACATATCAAGTGGGTTAAAAAAAGAAACTAAGCAAACAACTGGAACGAGAACAGAATCACAGAAATGGAGACCACATGGAGGGTTATCAGTGGGGAGGGAGAGGGGACAATGTGGGGAAAAGGTACAGGGAACAAGAATCAGAATAGGTAGGCACAAAATAGTCGGGGGAGGTTAAAGTAATATGGGAAATGGAGGAGCCACAGAACTTACTCCCAGCAACCACTGATGTGTGCTCAGTAGTTTTCTTCCGCAGAATGTCACACTAATGAGATTATATGGGATGTGACCTTTTAAGATGGCTTGCCTCACTCATCACACTGCCTCTGAGATCCAGCCAAGATGCTGTGCTTATTAAGTAATTTGGTTCTTTTTTTCTTTTTTGGCAGAGTAGTATTCCATTGTATGGATGTACCACACCGTGTTCCTCTGTTAAGCTGAAGAACATTTGAGTTCTTTCTGGCCATTATAAATAGAACCACTCTAATCAGTAATGTACACCTGTACAGGTTTTTATGTGCGTGTAAGTTCTCATTTCTAGAGAATAAATATCCAGGATTGAGACCGCTGGTTACATGTTTGACTATGTAAGAAACTGACCAACTGTTTCCAGAGTGGCTGTGGCATTTTTGTTCCTATGAGCAACGTAGGGAGCTGCTGCTGCTCCCCCCAGCCCCCAGCACTTGGCATCGTCCATAATGCCTTTCTTCAGCCATTCTACTAAGTGCGTGGTAATCTTTCCTTATAATTTTAATCTGCATTTCTCTAATTACTCACAATGCTGTGTATCTTTGCATGTGCTTTTTAGCCAAGTGTCTAACATCTCCATAAGTCATCTTGAAAAATCATAAGGCAAACTTGTTGGTGTTATATATATATCTCAGCATCAGAACTCAGAACTTGAATCAGGAACAGTGATCGGGTACCTGTGTCGTCTATTCTGTGATGCAGGTTGTGGACTATGTAACCCATTCTCTGTCCGGGCTGGACCACACATGGCATCCTGAAATCACTTTTTGGTATCATAATACAAGAGGGACTGGCCACCTGGATGCATTCTGAGAGGGTGAGTGATGATGAGGCAAAGAGAATCACAAGCTATGAGGACTGGCTGAAAGAAGCAGGACTGTCCAGCCTGGGAGATGAAGGGGAATGTGAGCACTGGCTCTGAGCCTGTGAAACGGAGCTTGTTGGAAAGAACCCTTCTTCTACACAAGCCCCTGGGAGATGACTATTAGGTCCAGCGGTGAGAAGTGGGCTCTGTGCTAGGGGCTTCTTGCTTTCAGAGGGGAAGCCACAGATAAAGCGACCTTGGTGCGGGGCGGAGATCACCCAGCTGGCTGCAAGTGAGACACACTGTCTGCTTCAGTAGGACGTTGGATCTCATGACTTGCTTTGACTCTGATTTTGCACAGTTGTCAAAGATGGCCCCACAACTCTGACTTGATTCTGTCTTTGGGTGTAAAGGTCTCAACGAAGAGACAGAGGTCCTATGAAAGAAAGAGATCTGCCCAAGGTCTGAAAATAGTGGTTGCAAAGCTGAATTTGGAAACCAAGCCCCCTGATGCTTGACCCAGGCCCCCATTTTGCTGCCAGTGTTTGTGGAGGAACAAAGAGCCCAATGCCTCCTCCTTATATACACTGTCTCCTGGGTCTCCAGACTCTGGGTTTTCAGTCTTGCACGCTCACTGTCTCAGAGGCCTTTAAAGAGAAAGGAACCCTACAATTTGAAATTTTAATACTTATTTTTTCAATGACAAGATGAGGAAAAAATCATATCAAATCAGACTGGTTTCCTCTGAAGATTTTACTTCTGCTCTGAGCTGTTTTGAGGTGACCAACTGCTCTAATTAGGCTGGAAGTAAAACTGGCTTTCATGAGATTCAGGATATGGCTGGAGGGGAAAGCTGTCAAGACTGGTTAAGATCATGAGCACCCACACTGGCCTCAGAGCATTCCAGGAATCCATTGATTCATTCCATAATTCATTCCACCCAGTAACCACAAACACAGACGTGCAGGAAGAACAGACATCACTGACTGAGGCTGTCTTGTTAATACACCCAGGGTGGTACAAAGCAGAAAATTTTTCACACTTCAGTCTACTGCCAGCCCCCTACCCCACTGGGGGGAACGGAGGGAGTGCTACAGAAAGAAGTCAGGACTGAGGTTCCCAATCCCACCTCTTCCTTTCTAATGTGTGCTGACCTATGAAGGGAAGAAATAAGGGCCAGTTCTTTCTAAGTAGACGGAGTTCTGGGGAGGACCAAAGGAGACGGAGGATGGGAAAGTACTTTGCAAAGTGAAAAACACTGCACTGACATGAGGGTTTACTCCCTTAAGGAACACTGGACACCTATTAAAAGACACACGCCATGCTGAACGCCAGGGATATTGAGCTGAAAAAAAACCAGACCCTGCACTCAGGAAGACAATCAGATCTAACACAAAGGGCAAGCTCGGATGGAAAGCGCAGGGGACCCTGAGCGCAGGAGGGGTTGGGCAGGAGCAAAGGTGATGGTGAAGATGGGCGTGAACAGAGTACTAAGGCAGGAGAAGGACTGTACTGGATTCTAGAAACGATCTCACTCTCCTTATTTTATTTCATACTCAAAGTGGTCTGCGAAATGGGTGCTAATTTCACCATTTCCCTACCGTGCTGGAAAGCACAGCTCCCGCTGTGGGGAGCACCCTGCCTGGTGGACAAGACCAGGAATGCTCCCCCTACAAATGTCGAGTGCTGAGGCCAAGAATGGCTGCTCTAAAACCAGAGGCCATTCTATTGTACAATTCTCTTTTCCTGAAACCAGTGATACCACCTTCCAGGGTGGCCAACAAAAACCATTACTAGGAAGGCAGCTGGTATGGCTTAGTTCCTTAGCCTGGGTTGACAGGTAATGTAATTACTTTATTAATGAACTGATTTTCAAAAAAAACCCCAAACTGAATATTGTAAAAAAAAAAAAACAACCAAAACCAAACAACTTTGTCCAAGTTTGCTGAACGCTATTTCTTTCAAGTAGTTTTGCTGGTGACTGATTTAATCCTCTGCCGAGCTAACACTCCTGGCAGGAATCACACGCAGATGCGTGCTGCGCAGCAAAAGCCACGTGGACGTGGCAGGGTGCAGAGAAGTGAGCACTGAGCTGGGAGTCAGGAGACGGACTGCACCTGCCCTCAGATCTCGGGCAACCGAGTGCCCTCGAGGCCTCTGCATCATCATCTGTACCACGAGGGACTGGTCTAGCAGGCCACCTGAGCATTCCCAGCACCTGGTCTGAGTCTCGGTTTCCTCATTTCTACACTGTTGGTAAAGATTAAATTAAAAAATGAATGGGAAAGATTGTTAAAAAGTGGACCAGCTCACTTGTCAGAGAAGCCTGTCAGCGAGGTGTGGGGCATAGCCCTTGGCTTTGCTAATACTCGGGGCCACCGAGGCCGGGCCAACTTCCTCGCGCATGGGGATTTCTAGCGGTGGTTCCAACTAAGAAACTGCAACTCATCTGCGCCTCATGGGCAGGTCTACAGAAAACTGCATGGCCGGGAGTCACTATGAAGTAGCACCGTTCGCAGCGGTTACTTTTCCCATCACCAAGCCCAACCAAAGCTGTGCCCAGACCACCCTTCTCACTAGTTTACATGCAACAGGAACTTTTTAGCAGGGAACCCTTGCCGTGCATCCTCCACACGACTGCCACCACCCGGCAGTCATTGCCTGGTGTGGGGGACTCTCTTCAACTTGCACTAAATTCCTCTTCAACTCCATTAATCTGGATCTAGCTAATAGCAGAGTTCATGATTTTAAAAAAAATCCTATCATCCTGGCCTAGAATCTAGAAACAAATGTATCTGTTTTGACACACACCACTCAAATCTTCGCACACAAACGGGCTGGTAAATCCGCCCAGCTCTGCCTCCTCTGGGCGTCCACTCATCTCACACTGTAGCAGCTTTCAAACCCGTTGGCCTTGGAGGCACCTACTGGACAGTGACTAGATCCAGTTTCTCCATTTGCCAGACCCTCAAAGAGCTCACAAACTCCAGCTCTTCACAAAGCGTTTCAGCTCTGGCTTGTAACACATAACCTCCACTTCCCACTCAACCTCGGTCTCCTTTTCCACCTGCGTTTACTGCCAGGACACGTGTCCCTGATCAGATAGACATACCTGTGAACCTGCAGGTGGAATGCGGAGGGACAGGCACACCCCACTGCACCCACCTGCACTGACCACAGTTCTTACATCCTCTGGGAAACCCTGCCTGGCCAGGGTCTTGGCCCCGTTCCCTCCTCTGGGTCCCCTGGCAGCCCGTGTGTAATGATTCTACAGCACACAGACAAAAGGGACACCTTTCGGCGATCTGTTCCAGGGGCCGCTCCACCACCAACGCTGCCAAGTTGGGCAGGGGCTGTGTTTTAAGTCATCTCTGCAGCCCCGGCCGGCATGAATTGTTGATGTGTAAATGGAGGACTAATGGATGGAGGAAGGTGGAGTCAGGGAAGCCCTATACATTATCGTGAAATGGCCTGACCTTAAAACTTGAGGACGGAGACAAGTCCCAGCTCTGTCCTTTGGTAGCAGCATGATTCCAGACAACTCTCTCATCCCTCCCCCAGGCTCATTTCATTACCAGTAACACAAGGTGATGGTCCCAATGCTACCACGGGACTAATGCGGAGACCACGGGTGTACTAGAAGGCAAGTGCAAAGGGGAGACGTTGTTTTCATTTCAAAATCTTTTCTAGCCTGGCACTTGGGATAGGGACTGCCAATGAAAACATACTCTGCAAACGTGAAGAATGCCAGGCTAATCCCATGTACTAGCACTTCCATACAATCTGAAGCTCAGGAGGCATGAGGCTCGGGCCGATGGTCCTGGCTGTCCAGTGAGTCCTCCGAGAGCCCTAGATAAGTGAGCCCTCTGTGGGCCTCAGTGTCCAAATACACAGAGCAGAGAGACACCTGGATAATCTCCAAGCCTCGGCCTGCTGGCTCTTGCCCCCAGGCTGGCAAGATGGCTTCTAGGTGGTCTCCCTCTTTTCCCTGACCTTGACCCTGTCCTTCCCCACTCAGAGTCACAGGCCGCTTTAAGTCTGTCAACCTCTCTCTCCTAGGAAGCACTCAACACAGGCTGGGGTCAGTTACTCTCTTACTGTCTTCATCCCTCACTTTTCCTCCAGTAATTTCTATTTTAATTAATGCCATCGCAATTTATTTGGCAGGCAATCTGGGCATTTCTTTCCTATTCCTCACTGTGTCCAAGAACTGATAACCCACATCAAACCTTAGCAGTTCTTGCCTGGGCTAATTCGACAGCTTCTCAACTGGCTTCCTCGCCTCTAGTTACATCTAGCTCCTTCAAACCCATCTTCCACATCATCAGTTCCAGGAGTAATCAAGGTTAACATGCAAATCTGACAAAGTCAAGTACCACGTAAAACTCTGTGAAGGAGACCTGTCTCCTGTGGGCAAGCTACTGTGCCCAGACTTGTCGCCAGCACAGCCCACACTCCCACTCACTGTCCACTGAGGCTGGAAGGAAGGCCGCCCGCTCTCTGACCTCCCACAGTGGGAGAAGGCTCAGTTTAGGCTTTGTCTCTCCAGGAAGCTTCCAGGACTCACCCAGGGGTGCCCACACATTTGGGATCCACACGCACCCTGGATGTGCTGGGATAACACTGCAATTACAATGGCCTACCTTGGCACCTGTCTACATCGAGCACCCTCGGAGGGGAGTCCCTGGGTTTTATCCCTGTTGCCCCATCCCTAGTGCCTGGCAGACTGAGTGTTCAACCAGGTTTCCCACAGCCTCTAGCAGAAGCCTTCTGGACAGTTTTAACATGGGATCCTGGAGCAAAGGGCTGGTGTCACTGTCATTGTGTGTGTGTGTTTAAGCAAAATCTATATGCTCAGGAAATGCTGTATCTCACGAAAAATTTAAATGTTTAAAAAGATGAAGTTTCTCTCTCCTTTCTCAGCTCCCTCCAGAGGCCACTCCTGGTACTGTTAAGGCAGGACGGGGAGCAAACCGAGGCAGGGAGGGAGGCACGCCTCACCCACTAACTCAGCGGCTGTGAGCCTGGTCTGGTCAGATTGCCAGGTGCCTGAAAATCACAAGAAAAACCGTTGTAGTGAAGGAGGAGGGGAGCCCTTGAAGTTCTGTGTGTATCGTTTCCACTAGCTGGGAAAGAAAGCCCTTGAAACTGTGCGTTCATCCCCAGGTCTTGAGAGGGGAGGAGGAGGGGAACCCAGAAGCTGGCTACCAGCATGAGACCCCCCAAAATCCCGATGGTCAGGGCACACAGGCCAGCTGGGTGCCCGTCTGCAGCTCAGTGCTCCACTGTGTTTCATAAATAAACCTGCTATCTCAGTTCCACGGGGCGTGCTGCCTCTCACTTGCATTCATCTCTTGTGAGCTGAGACAAGAACCAAGGAGGGGGAGCTCCCTATTATTGTTACTGGTCTCCCCAGTAACAGTAATAGTTTCGAGTATATTCTTTCCCAGCCATCCTTTGCAACATCCAGGCAGGTCTGTGAGGCCCCAGCCCCCTTTTCCCTCATAAATGGGTGTGCACCACCCCCTCCATTCTACACCTGAGACACAACAGATGGGCTTCACGGATTCACCCACACAACCCCTGAAACTGTCTGCAACATTGTGGTCGAGCATGTTGCATTTTTCCAGGGGACTCTGTGAATAACTTCCATTAACTTTTCAAAGGTGCTCCTGAACTCCAAAAAAGGAGACTGTCCCACCGCAAAAAGCATACGAACTGCCCTGAGCCCAGGACTACCACTGAAGCCCCGTCACAGTATGATCCCCTGCTCGGGGATCGCTGAGCCCACAGAGGAGGGGGCTTGAAGCGGGGGACACCTCCACCTGTCAGTAACAGAGGAGCTGGGAGCAATTCGGAGTGTGTGGGAACTTCCAATGTCAATGCAAGTCGAATACAGAGTCAGGGAGTTCCGTTTGGCCCAGCACGCTGGAGTCCATTTGCTAAAGGCAGCAATGCAATAGAGATCTCTGTCTGAATTCCTTTCTGGTCTCAGTTCATGGGGACTCTGGAGCTGCACTGTGCAATACCTCAGCCTCAAGCCGCTGTGACTAGGAGCACCTGAAACGCGGCCAGTCTGAAAAGGGGGTGATGGCAGTGTAAATTCTTACCAATCGCAAAGACTTAATATAAGAAAGTCATCAAATACAGCTTATTAGTAATTTTACATTGATTATATGTAGAAATTAGAATATTTTTGATATAGTAGGTTAAATAAACACATTATTAAAATGAACCTTTTCTGTTCTTTTTACTTTTCTTAGCAGGACTGTTAAACATTTACATTGCACACATGGCCCACACAGGTGACGGGCAGAGCTGCCCTGGAGAACGCCGCACTGCCGTCCCCCACCCTCTGTTCACCATCAGTGGTGATGGACTAGTTCCCACCTTAGAAATGTTCTGTTCCTACAGAAACAGAGAGGGGAGGGAAGCTGGGATGGGCGCAAAATGGGTAAAGGGATCAAGAGGCACAAACTTCCAATTGTAAAATAAATAAGTCAGAGGGATGTAATGCACCGAGCGGGGAATACAGCCAATAATATTGTACTAACTTTGTACCGAGACACATGGGGTCCTTTCCCAATGCATACAAACGCCATACACATGAGATCAATATAACTCTGTATGCCAATTACACATCAATAAAAAAAGGATATGTTCTTCTCTTTGCAAATCAAAAGCAAAGGATTTGCTAAGTCAGGTGTTATTATTCGCACACAAATAAGAAAAACTTACCAAAAATACCTACGAAAATACAAGAAAACAAATTTGTTTACAGGGGTCTAAATCCATGATGAAATCCATTTGGCAATACCCAGTTAAAAATGTCACATCCAGGACATACGCCTAATAACAATCTCTTTTAAAAGACATTTACTGAGTACCTACTGTGTATTGGGTTCTTCACATTTATTGTCACAATTTCCATTTTAAATACAAGAGGATGGAAGCTTAGAGAATGGCTCGGGCCATCCACCTAGTAAGTGGCAGTCACCTGGAACCCAGATCTTTGTGCCACAGTATACTCTGCCCATCCCTCCCTCAGCATTTAATGTTTGTAATGTAAACTTGTAGTTTACAAAGTACTTTCAGATACATTGTGTCATTTAGTTACCCAGACTCTTCTTTGGTTGTAAGATGGGGGCATGAAGAGCCTGGTGTGAAGGACTTGCCCTGCGTCTCATAGCTCAGCGGTGCCTCATCTTACACCCTCCATCCTCTCTGCTCCACCAAACACCACTTCCTCCTGTAATGAGAATGGCTTTTCTGCTCTTGAAGTTAAATGGAAGGGGGACCTTTACTATCAGTAATGATAACATGCTAATTCAACGACAACACAACTATTTTTGAACATGTGACTACACATTATATATTCACATATTATTAAAGTAGTAATAGCACTGTAAGTTTATGGGGTGTTATTTATGGATCAAACAAATGAAACACATATGTAGTGAAGGTAATGAAAACTTAATATCATGGAGAATCCTGTCCGATTTGTCTCTAATGCCCCAGGGAAGGTGTCTGTTTGACTGTGAACCCTCTAGGTGGGGAACCATAGAAGCAAAGGGCAGGAAAGTAAGATCAGCTGGTCTAAAACCTGCTGTATTTGCTTTGCGCGCTTAACAAGTCTCTTTATTTGCCACAACTTCTCTAATTTCTTTTTTCCTCCTAATTCTTAGGGTGTGGCTAACAGGTGCTTCATTAAACCACAGTGCCTCTGGCTCTCTCAGGGGACATCCAGGACCCTCGGGCTACCTTCAGTGCTCCCGTACCCACTCAGGACTGATTTCTGCGCCAGCCTCCCCTCCTCCCAGGGCCAGGGAACAGAAGCACCAGAACAGGAATTAGCAGACTGGTGTTCTAGACCTGGCTCTGCTGCTAACTCTGGGGACCATGACCAAGTGCTGACCCCCTCCAGGTTTGTTTCCTCATCTGTATAAGGGAGTATATTTCTAAGTTGCTGAGAGTGGTGTTAATCAACGTAGTGCTCGGACTATAGGACTTACCCCCCAGATTTGGAAGGAAAATGGGGGTGCATCTTACAGTCTGAATGTAGCTTTACACTTACATTGGTGAAATGTTATTTATGTTACTAAATATTTTACCACATTTTTTGCTTCAAAAGTTTTTCCCCTATTCTCCTCCAAAACCTAGGTGCGTGTTATGGTCCGAAAAACACGCTAACTGATGTATTGTAAATAGAGCTCTCGGCGCGTCACAGCTGAGTCAGACTGAAGCGACCCCAGCTGCATCCCTCAGATCTACTCTGAATGAATTAAAGAAGGTAACAGAGGGTGTTCAGTAAACATTACTCCCCTTTCCCACTGGAAATGCCTTAGGGGACCCTAAGTATCCGCCTCGGGAAAGCAGATAGTAAACGCTGTGTCCGAGCAACTCCTCGAGCTCTGAACCAGGGGCCGCCTGGGGAGCTGTTTCAGTTCTAACGCTGCTTTCTCTTCTCCTGAAAGCTCATGGCAAGCTCTCCATGGACTGTCCCTCACACATGGTCTTCAGTCCCCTCACCACCCCCCTTTAAATGTGCCTGCATTAGTCAGCTCGGGCTGCCCCAAGAAAGTACCAGACTGGGAAGCTTAGGGACAGAAGTTTGCTTTCTTGAAGTTCTGGAGGCTGGAAGGCCAAGATCAAGGTGTCAGCAGTTTCGGTTTCTCCTGAGGCCCGCACCTTGGCTTACAGAGGGCCACCTTTTTGCTGTGTCCTCGCACATGGCCTTTTCTCGGAGCTCCTGGTGTCTCCTCCTCTCCTAATAAGGACACCAGCCCTACTGGCTCAGGGCCTACCCTCATCACCTCATTTAACCTTAATTACCTCTTACCTCCTAAGGCCCCGTGTCCAAATAAGGTTGCACGGGGGGTTTGGCTTCAATACATGAGCAGGGGAGTGGGGTGTGTGGTACGGTCACAGTTCAGCCCCCAATGGTGCCCTGACCACAGTATTGTGGTCAACACCTGGATGAAACACAACTCTGCGAATGTGGTCCAACAGGCTTGCGGATGACCAGTATGGGCACTCTCGAGGGAGAAAAATGATACAAATTTTAGTCTGCTTTTGATTTATCCTGCACAGTTTCGTATTATTTGGAGTTCTTTAGGTTGTAAGTGACAGATTCTAATAGGAATATATGAAAATTTTTAGTTCATATAGTACAAAAAATAATAACCCTCACGGATAAGCCTAGCTTAAGCAGGGCTGACTGAAGCCCAGGCTGAACGATGTGGTGAGGAGTTGGTTCTTTGGCTGCCACTGGCCTCCACCCCCATCCCTGGGCTTCATTATCAGAAGGCTGCCAATGACTTGGGGCCTCCATGATCCTCACAGCTCCTGCTCCCCCCCAAAACGGCATCTTTCTAGCAGCCCTAGCCCAAGTCCTATGGAAGACTCCTGGATGACAGACCTGCCCCTAAACCGATCACCATGGCCAAGGAATGGAGTCTTGGCTGGGTCCAGCCTGGCTCATGTGCCAGCCCGAGGCAGGGGGAGTGGTTAGGCCCATACACACCCCCTTCACTGTGGAACGGACTGCTAGTTCCCCTCTTCTTAACACCTCCCCCCGAACTGGTTGGTGGGCAAAACTCAGCCGCTTCCTAGGGGTAACAATGCTATTAAAGCAAACAAAATAGGTATGCTAAAAAATTATTTGACTGCCTCTCTCTTTTTAAAAACTTCTCATCTTTGTACAATGTCTTACTTCTTGGAATGGTCTCAAACCCCTATCTCTGCCCAGGTGCTGACAAACAAATGACTGACTTAAAGCAGGTAAAGGATGGCCTCGTACACAGCAGGGCTCTCCTGCAGGAAAAGCTGCGCTGGCCAGTAAAACTGCAGCCCTTTCTCCTCCTAGCAGTCCTGAGAGTGAGCTCCACTCACAGCTCATCATGGAAACATCAAGAGTAATTACACCAAGAAATTCCTTTAAACACACACACACACACACACACACACACACACACACACACACAGATGGGCTCAGATGAGGGAATAAGTGGTGCAAACAAACAAACAAACAAAAAACCAAACCCCGAACCAAAACAAACAAAGAATACAACACATGCACTGTGAATGAAATTTACCATTTTGCAACCATCCGGAAATTTCTTGCTGCCAGGGACAAGTCAGAAAAACACAAAATAAACTGCATCAGCAGTCCACACTGGGGTAAAACAAAGTGAATCAGACACATGGTTCCTGATCTTCCAACTGAGTGACTCCATTAAACTCCTAAAACATAAAAACCAGCAGCACACACCTGCATGTGTGTCTTGTTTGTACTTGAATCTAGAAGAATCACATTCATTTCAACATGTAAGGACTTTTTAAATTTCACATGCACTTTTGCTAGCTCAAACCCTTTTGAAAATTCCCATGGCCTTGAACATCTACCACCCAGCCCCTTAGGCCTGGCTCCTGACCTACTGCCTGGACCAATTCTGCCCGTGCAAAAGCAGGTCCTGCGCCCCAGACTCAGTCTCTCAAAATCCCAGCCAGTGCCTCACACTCAGAAACGAGCAGACACCCGAAAGGCAGCAACTGCCCTCTTTCCTGCTAGTTCCCCTTCTAGGGTCTGTGACAATGGCATATGGCAGGAGGTTAAGGGAAAAAAGGCTAATAAAAATGAATAAAGAGTGCTCCGTTCAAGTGTAACAGATGGAATGAAAATGTATCAAACCTTTTTTCTGCCTTCAAATAACCCTCAATCAAGTCAGGAAACTACGACAAAATTTAAATATTAGATTATGCTAGATCCCTCGAGTGTTGTATGGATGTTCAGAAGAAAGGGAGATGTATGTGGGCTACAGAGGTCAAAAAAGGTTTCCTAAGGAAGTGCACACGAAGCTGGGTTTTGCAGGATTTCATGGGGAGAAAGCAGGGTGTTAGAGACAGGGAAGCCCAGTGGTGTGAGTAGACTGGTGATTAAATCAGCTGTGGAGCAGAGGAGAGATTCCTGGACCTGAACTTCCAGAGAGAGTGCAGGCAGACCAGGGAGGCAGGAGGCTGTGAGGAGCTGGACTGGCAAGGGAGAGAACTTTATATTGCCACTTGGTAAAGGACCCTCCCCAAAGAACCAGGAGCCAGCCTCTCATTCCCCACCCCTCTTTGAAACAAGCTGTATTGAACTT